TTCCAGTATTCGAGAATGTGGAAGGCGAAAGAGTACATACCCCTGTAGATTACAATCAAATCAAAGAATTGGCCAAATCCGTTCGTAATTATGGGGTCAATGCTAACTTTACCACATTACAGGTGAAAAGGCTTGCTAATTTTGCCATGACTCCCACTGACTGGCAGACGACAGTGAAAGCAGTGCTTCCCAACATGGGACAATACATGGAATGGAAGGCTCTCTGGTATGATGCAGCCCAGGCACAAGCTAGAGTTAATGCCACGGCTAAAGATGAGAATCAGAGGCAGTGGACATTTAAAATGCTGACAGGTCAGGGTCAACATGCCCTTAATCAAACCAACTACATCTGGGGCGTCTATGGTCAGGTGTCGGCCGCCGCTATTAAAGCATGGAAGGCCCTCACAAAAGGGGAGAGTCCAGTGGACACCTTACAAAGATTGTCCAAGGACCCCAAGAGCCATTTTCAGACTTTGTGGCCAGAATGACAGAGGCCGCCAGTCACATCTTTGGTGATTCAGAACAAGCTATGCCCCTGATTGAGCAACTTGTCTATGAACAAGCAACCCAGGAATGTCGAGCGGCTATCGCCCCTCGCAAAAGCAAAGGTTTACAAGATTGGCTCAGAGTGTACAGGGAGCTGGGGGACCCCTAACCAATGCAGGACTAGCTGCCGCCATTTTACAAACGCACAGGTATAGAGATTTATCTAATCAAAAAGCTTGTTTTAATTGTGGGAAAATGGGACACCTTAAAAAAGATTGTCAAGCCCCTAAAAGAACAAAAAAATCAAAGCTTTACTATCGTTGTGGTAAAGGTTATCATAGGGCTAGCAAATACAGGTCAGTCCGGGATATAAAAGGGAGGCTTCTGCCCCCTATTAAAGAACCCAAGGTACCCCAATCAAAAAACGGGTCACGGGGCCCATGGTCCCAGGGCCCTCAAAAATATGGAAACCAATTTCAAAAAAACAATCAAGAAAAAGTAGAGGTTTCCGAGGAACCTCCAAAATGGACTTGCGTGCCGCCTCCGACTTCTTACTCATGCCCCAAATGAATGTTCAACCGGTCCCAGTCCATTCCCCTGGACCTTTGCCCCCTGCCACCATTGGGCTTATTCTGGGCCGTGGCTCCTTAACTTTACAGGGACTCATTATATATCCTGGGATTGTTGACCCATATCATAAAGAGGAGATTCAAGTTCTCTGTTCTAGCCCTCGGGGTGTATTTTCTATAAAGCAGGGAGATAGAATTACACAACTGGTGTTGCTGCCCTCCCTCGGGGATGGAGAAACCTACACTTTACAAAAAAGGGCTATGGGATCTTCTGAAAGTGATTCAGCCTATCTGGCTATACCCCTAAATGAGAGACCTACAATAAAATTGTTAATTAATGAAAAAAATTTAAAGGGATAATGGATACGAAAACAGACAAAAACATTATTTCACTCCATTGGTGGCCAAAGTCTTGGCCCACTGTTGTTTCATCTCATTCTCTACAAGGTCTTGGATACCAGTCCTCTCCTGCCATCAGTGCCTCAGCCTTAACCTGGCGGAATGCTGAGGACAAACAGGGATGTTTTACCCCCTATGTGTTGCCACTCCCTGTAAATTTATGGGGACGAGATGTGTTACAAGCCATGGACATGACCCTAACTAATAAATACTCCCCCAGACATCAGCCATTATGACAAAGATGGGGTATACAAATGGTAGAGGCTTGGGTAGACAAGAACAAGACAAAATAAAACCCATTACACAACACAAAAATCGGGGTAAAAAAGGACTGGGTTTTATTTAGGGGCCGTTGAGGCTTCACGACCCATACCATGAAAAACAGAGGAGCCGTTATGGGTCTCTCAATGGCCTCTATCCTCTAAAAAATTAGAGGCTGTCACAAGATTAGTACAAGAACAGAAACGGCTGGGGCATCTAGAGCCTTCTACCTCCCCATGGAATACACCAATTTTTGTTATTAAAAAAAATCTGAAAAGTGGAGATTACTCCACAACCTGCGGGCCATTAACAATCAGATACATCTTTTTGGCCCTGTTCAAAGAGGCCTTCCTTTGCTTTCTACACTTCCTCAAGATTGAAAGCTTATTATTATAGATATTAAGGATTGTTTCTTCTCTATTCCACTTTACCCACGGGATAGACCAAGGTTTGCCTTCACTATCCCTTCTCTTAATCATATGAAACCAGACAAGAGATTTCAGTAAAAGGTACTGCCACAAGGCATGGCCAATAGCCCAACAATATGTCAACTATATGTACAGGAGGCTTTGGAGCCAATTAGAAAACAATTTACATCTTTAATCGTTATCCATTATATGGACAATATTCTTATTTGTCACAAAGAGTTAGATGTTTTACAAAAGGCTTTTCCCATGCTGGTGGCTAAATTAAAACAGTGGGGATTAGAGATTGCCTCAAAAAAGGTTCAAATTACAGATACAGGGCTCTTTTTGGGCTCAATGATTACTCCCAAAAATATAGTTCCTCAAAAAATAAAAATTCACAAAGACCACTTACAAACATTAAATGATTTTCAAAAACTTCTGGGAGATATAAATTGGTTGAGGCCCTTTTTAAAAATTCCATCTACTGATCTAAAACCCCTCTTCGATCTCCTGGAGGGTGAGCCTCATATCTCCTCACCCAAAAAATTTACCCCTGCCGCCCACCGAGCCTTACAGATGGTAAAAGAGGCCTTACAGGAAACACAATTACAACGTATTGAGGAGTCACTACCTTTTAATCTGTGTGTTTTTAAGACAGCTCAATTGCCAACTACAGTCCTGTGACAACATGGACCATTACTTTGGATTCATCCAAATGCTTCCCCTACTAAGATTATTGACTGGTACCCTGATGCTGTTACACAGCTCGCGCTTCGCGGAATAAAAGCAGCTGTTACACATTTTGGCAGGGATCCTGATTCCTTGATTGTGCCTTATACTGCTGCACAAGTTCAGACCTTGGCAGCCACATCTAGTGATTGGGCAGTTTTAGTTACTTCCTTTTCAGGACAAATTGATAATCATTTTCCAAAGCATCCAATTTTACAGTTTGCCCTAAACCAGGCTATAGTGTTTCCACAAGTGACAGCTAAAGACCCACTCCCAGATGGGACTGTGGTGTACACTGATGGATCAAAAACTGGTATGGGAGCTTATGTGGTCAAGGATAGGGTTATATCTAAACAATATAATAAAACTTCACCTCAAGTTGTAAAATGTCTGATAGTACTGGAGGTTCTTGAGGCTTTTCCAGGACCCCTCAATATTGTATCAGATTCCTCTTATGTGGTTAATACAGTTAATCTCCTTGAGATAGCTAAAATAATAAGATCCTCCAACAGAGTTACTAACATCTTTCAAAAGATACAAGCTGCCTTGTTAAATAGGAGATTTCCTGTTTTCATTACCCATGTCCAAGCACATTCTGGACTCCCAGGTCCCATGTCCTTAGGGAATGACTTAGCGGACAAGGCTACAAAGCTGGTGGCCACTGCCTTGTCTACCCATACACAAACAACAAAAAAATTCCATAAACACTTTCATATAACAACTAAAACCTTACGCCGTCATTTTACTCTATCCAAAAAAGGGTAGGATCATTTAGCCTAGTTCTCTGCTGTGAAATAGTGTTGATGCTTTGGATGGTGTGTAAGCTCAGAGCCCAAACAAAAGAGACAAAGTGGTGGTGGCACAAGCACTTGCTGCCTTAGAACACGGAGCCTCCCCTGACATTTGGTTAACCATGTTAAAGCAATAGGTCGCTGGCCTCCCAGCTCTTACACCCCACGAGGCTAGTCTCATTGCACGGGATAGAGTGGGTAGGCTTCAGCAGCCCAAGGAGTTACAAGGCTAAGCACTACACAGGAGAGGTCTACGGTATAACGACTTTCTCCTGGGAGATAAGTCATCTTACATGAAGGTTCTATGTCATGATCTCCTTCCCCCAGAAAAACGACATCGGACTGGTCAGGGCTCTCTCTGGGGATAAGACCCTGGAGAGGAGCTTTATACATGTTCCAAATTTGCACATGGGGATTTGACCTCTATCTCCACTCCAAAGTTGTGGGTGTCCTATTGCTTCAAAAATAAATGAATAGGGGAGATGTGAGGAGCCGCCCTCGCTATCGCTATTGCCGTTAGAAGATGGCGCTGACATCTGCTGTCAGTTGGAGTTAACCGTTAGAAGATGGCGCTGACATCTGCTGTCAGTTAGAGTTAACCGTTTAAGCTGTGCCTCTCCCGTGGCGTCATCTGGGGTGATGTACAAACCACCAATCCCGGCTCTACACGTCTCACTCGGAGCTCCTAGGCTTATATAAGGGGCTGGGTTTCTTAGCTTGGGGTCTCCCTCTAAGAAGCTAATCATCTATCTCTCAAGATACATTAAAGCTTTACTGCAAAAGGATCCGAGTGTTCTGCGTCGTTCTTGCTGGCGAGACGGTAGCGCGGGACAGGTGGAGACTTTGGGGTCTCCAGAAGGTATATAAGCACTGGTTCCTGGATTCAGGGCTGAACACAGAGAGGTATCTGAGCAAGGTGAAACGACCTACTGATTTCCTGGCAAGTTGAGAACGCAAGGAAGTTTGTCTAGCTAGGTTGGGGGGAGGTTTTCATGTGGGAAGATGGAGCTAACCGTTTCAAAGGAATGGAAACAGGGTGGAGATTTATGTATATTTAGAGTTTGAAGTTAACCGTATTCCTGGCTTCACGGTTATAAAGTCCTGTGAAAATTCAGGAGGTGTTTTCAGGTTTTCTTTATAGATATGAATACTGAGAATTACATAAGGGCAAAATGTTGGGCAACCAGAAGAACAGTGGTGATGTGACCCAAGGGTACTGTCACATCTACTATGCTTTCATTCAATGTTCTCCAAAATGGAGGAGACCTGTGCATGATGTTGTCTACCTGATGATAGGGAGCTATGAGTGGAGGAGTTGAGTCTCTGGGATTTCTTACATCTATTTCTGTTTTTATTCCAAGCTTCTCTAGTCTAAGAAGATCTCACAATGGAACCAAATTCCCATGTGATCACAGAATCTCATGTTACCCATGGCTTCTCACTTCCACATGGTCTAAAAATGACTGGACGACAATTTACATTTCCAACTAACATATTCCCTAGCTATTCAGTGAACCCAGTCCCCCACGGTTCTGCAAGTACCTCATCGCCACATTATCCACAAGGTTTCCTAACTTCTCAAGTTCCGACAAAGTCACAAGAAACTTTCAACAATACAAGGAGGCAACAGAAGCACAGAGTGTTCATTGAGGATCAAAATCTGGTACTGCAAGAACATTTTAATAAATGCAAATTCCTGAAAAAGGAGGAATGCATGGAACTAGCCCAAAGATTTGGCTTGGATGAGCACCATATCAAGGTATGGCTTCTCTAGTGTCTGTCTTTATTCTTGTCAGACAGCCTCTTCTCCAGCGGCCTTCTACAAACTTCCGTGACTCCTGCAATTATTGTCCCCCTCAAGTATTGTGGCTACAAAGCCGAACAACATGTCATATAATAAAGATGAAAGGGTGTCTCATGTAGGATTGTCTTCCTCTTATTTGCCTAACACAAAATAGTGGTAACAAACACAGTGATAATGGTGCCCCAATGGTTTTTAATATCCTCTACCTAAGGGCTTCCATTCAAACATCCTCCTTTTCATAGAACATTCCATATTTTTATGGCTTCAAGTCTAGTTCTCCCTGCATTCATCCTACTTGTATCCATTATTCCTAGTCATCTGAGATAGGTGATGCATAAAGAGCAATATCCAGGCATTTCTTCCAGCAACTTTAGATTTAGGGCCTAAGTGCAGCAACCTGCCTCTTCTGATATCTTCTCTTTCTTTCTCTAGATCTGGTTCAAGAACAGGCGCGCTAAAGTGAATCAGAAAAAGGGCCAAGGACAACATTTGAATCTGGGTTGTGGATCACAGGAGATATATGCCTCCCCAACTGCATCTGACCCTCATGACCCATCAAGCAGTGAAGATTCCCCGTGCCACAACCAATCAAGAATCAGCTGGGCTCCGCAACATATCCCCTCAAGTAACTCTTTACAACATGAACCTGATTTCTCCACTGTTGATCACAAGTTTGAGAAGAAATATTTCTGTAATAGTTCAACTAGGGAGATGCAGCAGATGCCTGGGAAACTCAGTCACCAACCAGATGGTAGGTGTGGACTTCCCAAAGGTTGTGTCCCTTTTGAAGGGTCAGCCAAGTCAGAATCTATGTGTGAGAAACCATCAGCTGTCAGTTTTCAAAATTTATCCCTCCATTTGAGTATTGCCCAACACACGGAATCCTTTTTGTCCATGTGTCAGCGACAATCACTTGTGACCACTCCACCTCAACTCAACCCCTTGAACAATACACTAGACCAGACATCGATTTTCTCCAAAATTGATCGGGCCTGTGAGGCAATTAACAAGAAGAGGAAGAGATCCATAGAAGAGGATCAGCAGAGCAAGAAGGCTAGAGATCATTCATGGAAGGGAGGCATTGATTCCAATGCTAAGTCTTCCTGTCCAAAAGACACTGTCCTTCTCATGGCCTCTGCTTGTGGGGATTCCAGGTTACAGAGACAGTTATGTGTCAGTTCTCATCCAGCAGTGTGCCACTCCAATACTTCACCAGACTCAGGGACCATTCTTTCCATGATGGAGAGCACATGCAGAGTTAACTCTCCTCCTCCACTCAATCCAAGTGTTTTCCCAGTACCCGAATTCTGTTTTCTCCATTGATGAGATCAATGAAGATCTTTTACACGAAGTCCTGAAGTGTGACCATCCTGGTCAAGACACTACCACTAAAGAAGGAATCCCAGTACAGTCAGCATCTTGTGAATCATCTGCAGACCAAGCTCCAGTCCAAGATGCAGACTCAAGCAAGACTGCCGAATTCAGCCAACCTTGTTCAGATAATCAGTCTCTTCTGGTTTTGCCAGCACATTCTTTGCCAATTTTTTTCATCAATCCTCTATCTCTGTCACTGTGTTCAATGGGTACAGTACAGTGTTTAACTGTGGTTGTTTTTCTCTGCTTCCATCAGTCACTGGATGAAGGTTCTAGGATGACATAAAGTGTAGACAACATTTTCTTTAACAGCTCTCAGCATTAATTTTTTGTTTTATTTCATCCCTTATATGAATGAGTGCAAGTCATCTATCTACCCGTTGCTCCTGAAAGAGAAACTAAAAGAAGAAAAACAGAAGGAAATGACTGAATCTCTAATAACTATTCAAGGTTAGTGGACATGTCTACATTTCTAGAAATATTATATATCCAGATATTGCAAATCATTAAGTTTGGTGCTGGAAATACTTTAAATTTTATTCTGAAAATTGTTTGAAGTAAACAAACAACAAAAATTCACACAGTTCAATTAACCAGACCCAAACACTGTACAAAAAATGTACATTTATTTAGTAAGAATACTCACTGGGATCCTTTAATCCCAGCACTCAGAAGGCAGAGGCAGGGAGATCTCTGTGAGTTCTAGACCAGCCCAGTCTACAAGAGCTAGTTCTAGGACAGCTTCCAAAGCCACAGAGAAACCCTGTGTCAAAAAAAACTCCAAAATAGTCATTGGGAACATAAACACTGGAGCCTTACAAAAGGGTCTTACACATTGGTTATTGAATATATATTTATGAAGTTATCCATCAGAAAAAGAAAAATAACTTATAGAATAAGAGCTAGAAGAGCATTTAGATATATGCCTGATTTTATAAGTGTTGTTCATTATCTTTACTCAATCCTACCTCAATATTGCTATTTGGTCTTCATTGTTTGCTTTCCTCAGTATTCAAGTGTGCCCTCATGCATATTGTTTCTCATATACACATATTATTGACCAGTTTCTGTGTATGAGTAAAATGGTGTTTCCTCTTTCTGACAGTTTTTGTGACTTCACTAAGTAGTACACATTCTAAGTCCGTTTTACAGGAAATTTTATTGACATTTTCTCTTCAACTGCAAGGTATTCCAATATATATATATATATATATATATATATATATATATATATTGATTCTAATACTTTGCTATGGTGAATGCAGTAGCAGTGAATAATGTGTGCAAATATTGTAAGTATTGGGCTGTGGAGGTCTCTGGTTATGTCCTGAGGAGTGGCACTGATGGGTCATCTATTTTCTCTTCAATTTTCTCAATAATTTCCATACTGATTCCCACGATGACTTTATGAATTTGCACTACTATAAAAGGACCAGCAGTGTATGAGTATTTTTCACTCCTGATCTTTACTAATACTTATTTAATGGTTAGTTGATAACATCTAAATTTCAAATCATCTCTTGTTTGAGATTACATTAAGTCATTGTAGGGATCCTGAACACTTGCAATAGTTACTGGCCATATGTGTATTTGTCTTTCAAGTGTGTCTATTGAATTACTTACCCATTTCTTGCATTGCAGTTTTAGTTCTTTTTTATATAATTTCTGAAATTCTTTTTATTCTATGTATGGGCCCTTACCTGAAGTAATTCTGGTATAGATTGTCTCCTGTCAATTGGGTGCCTTTGTGTACTGCTAATTGTTTCCATAAGAAACATTTTGTGTTCCTATAGTCTCATCTTATCTGTTTCTGTCCTGTTTGTGATCTCTCTAATCAATAAGATCTTATTCATCCCAACATCCTGGTGGGTATTCTGTATTTCTTGATTTATATGTGTTTCTGGCTTTATATAAGGCTTTTCATTTATTTGAATGAATTTTTACAAATGAAAGCTGAGAACCTAATTAAATTACCAGAATCATTTGTAGAAAGGACACATTTTTTAATGTGCATTTGCCTCCTGTGTTAAATATTAAATATGTTTAACTTTCTGCTTTTCTTTCTTATTCTTCTACTATATTCCCTCATCTTCATTTTCATGACCATACCATGCATCATTTATAACTACAGCTTCACACTGTAATTCTATAAACCCACACTAATAGCACTTTTCTCCATTTAGTCCTTTCCAAACAATTTTTCCCTGGAAGGTAAATATCTCACCTGAATTGATGACCAGTAATTTGAAAATTTCCATTTTAACACATAACTATAAAATACATGTTCTTGGGGTGGACCTGTTCCTTGGTGCTTTTTGGGGCATGGGTTTCTTAGGCACCATCACCAATTCTCTCTGGCTTGTTACCTAGGCACCTGCCTACATGGGGCATGCCCTCTGAAGGTGGCCATTGTGTTGAGTGGTCTTTGGGAATATTCACAGTCATGTGTTACGGGACAGCTCCAAAGCAGCTTCCTCTTATTTATCATTAGACAATGATATTGTACCAAGCCTGGTTGGGCGGCAGAGCTAACCTTTTATTTGACAAAGTCAAATAGTGTTTGGAATATAGATGCCCCAAAACAGACCATAAAGGAGCATTATGAGAAGTCCCAGGAGGGATGATAAGAGGGTGGACAGGAATGGAAATGTGGAGAACCAATTTTGATACCAAGAATCTTGTATATCTCTTTCTTTTTTCTGAGCCTTCTCAATTCCCTGGCCATACTATTCCAGATGACTCCTGACCTATTGACATAGAAATAACATTCTTCTTTCAGGGCGAGCAAAGACCCCCTTGTTATAGGAAGAGTAAATCTAAGCCTCATCTGTTTTATAAGACCATTTGTGCCAGGGTTTGGTGTGACTCTTTTAAACAGGCTGTTTGATTTTGTAATTCATTGATGTCTCTGTCAATAGAGGCAGGGAGTTTCCCAGTAGCTAGATTTACCAGCTATCAAGCAGAGATATGTTTAATGGCTCCAACAGTGCTAATTCCTAAAAGGACAGCAAGTGGAAAAGTCATAATGTGTTCTCTATGTATGCAAAGGTCTTGGGAGGTCTCCGAGAAATGAAAGAATTCATCAGGATGGTAATAGGATAGCCAGGGTATGGCCTACACCAACGCACAGAAGCCAACCTCCTAGAAAACCGGAATGGAAAGGCAGGGCATAAAACCATCAAGAAAGGCCCAGTCCAAACTTTTGGGGGGCATCAAAATCATCAGGGAAGCTGAGGACTACATTGGTGTTGCAGAGCACATTGTGATAATGGGGAAGATTAGGATGGGCTAGGGAAATGATGCATAGGCCAGATCCTACGACCTGTTGCAGGGTGAGGTGTGAAATGCATTTATCTGGACTCCATCAACAATAGTGGGGGTCATTTGTGGTGGTAAATGTGATATCAGGAGTCATTGGAAGTGGTAAATGCCACAAGAACAGCCAATCCCTCATAAAATGGGGGAGTGATAGCAAAGCCAGCAATCTGCCATCAGTTGGGGTGATGCTATTTGCTGCAAATAGGCGTGGTGTATTAGATCTAAAATAACATCTCCTATATCAGAAAAAGGGTGTCATGATTCTCAATTGGGAGAAAGGTTGTGGATAATGGTCAGGGTGAAGATTGCTGTGGGATTGGGTTATCTCTTAGTGGGGTTTGGCATCTAATGGTGAGATTAGGGGCAGAAGATATCTGGCCTCTTCCCAAGACTGTATTCATGTCCAAAGTAACCTGAAGTCCATGGATTTGGGTAATTTATTTGTGTAATTTAATTGAGAATGAAAGGTCTTCATCATATGTGTATCCTCTGTACCAGTTTATGGCATGATATCCTGAGACGGTCAAGTGAATCTTTAAGGGATTGCACCAACCTTGTGAGGAGGAGGAAGGCAGACAATCTGGAGGGGAATGCTACATGCAAGTGGAATCATGGTGTTGGCTGATGTAAGGAGGGAAAGAATGTGGGTAGGAGGCTGTCACTTAAATGTAATCTCAGTTGGAAGTGGGATACCAATGTTTCTCCAGTCATCTCCCAGCGCCAAGACAGACAAAAGAATTCCAAAGGGCCCCCACATCTATGAAGAAGGCTGCAGCCCCGGTGGGAGCCGGGGCACATGTAAAAGTGCTAGGCCCTAAGTAGAGCTCGTCTCTGGGGCTGTGAACATTCAGCATAGGTGGTGCCCTTAAAGGAAATGTTGGGCATGTTTTCCTGATCAAAAACTTCCTGGGTGCCCCCAGGAGGCTTTAGCACTGAGTGCAAGTTTACAAAGGTCTGAGTTGGGGGAATTTGGCCACCGAGGAATGTGCTGTGTCTTAGAAGCAGACCAGAGAAGTACCCAGGTATAATTCCATGGCTCATGGTGGCTAGGATTTTTGGTCAGGGGCTGGGGGAACATGAGAACAGAAGGGATCAGGGTAAGGATTAACAATTTAGGGATCAAAAAATGCAGCCAGGTCAATGAGGTTGTCTGTCTTCTTGTCATCTTGACTTTGGTGTCATCACTTTGAGGTTCATCTGGGGAGAGAACAAAGGAAAAGGTCTCAGGCAGAGAGGGGTGTCATGACCTGAAATGTTGGGAGGGCAGAGAAATGCTTAACAAGTCTCTGGGGTAGACAGCAAGGGGCAATGTTGACCTGATCATAAATTCAAGCAGAGCCATGGCTTGAGATCAAGAGGAGATCTGAATCATGCCAGGAATTCATGAGGGGATACTTCAATTTGACAAGAGTGTATGTCGAAGATGGCCTGGGGTGCCAAAACCCTATTTGTGAGACTTGCCATTTTTATCCACTTGGACATACTTTAGCATGAAGAGAGCATGACTGACTAGAAGGCAAGGGGTGGAGTGTGGGGGGTGTTGGAGGATTACAGGGAAATGTAGAGCTCCATATGATTGGCTCACTATTTGAAGCCTTGTCTGGGGATTGTAGGCAATGCCTGTTATGTTT